TCGCACAGCACAACAATTGCTAAGCCAGAGATAAACCAAAACTCTTAACTGGATTGTTAGAGTATGGTGCACAGCGGAATTAAATAAACATAAAGTGTGTGTGAGATTGTGTGAGCAGTATATCTCGTGTAGAGAGAATATGTAAAGAGCAGTAAGTAAAGAAAGCAGTAAAGAACACAAGACAATTATAGTGGTTCGCGAGGTGGTGTAATCCTCCTACTCCACTTGCTCTTATCTCCAAGAGCAATTCACTATATCTACCACTCCTTGGTTCCAAGATACAATGAATTTCCGTGATCTAGTGCTTTGATCACAAAGCCCGCACTAATCACGCCCAGTGACACCACACTGCTGCTTCGGGTTTCACGTCGCCGCGCTACTATCCCAGGATTTCATGACTCCGTGTTACTTTCCCCCCGTCTTCCACACTCTGGTAGAAACGTATCCCGTCATCTAGTGCTTTGATCACAAAGCCCGCACTAATCACGCCCAGTGCCTCCGACACTGCTGCTTCGGATCTCACAGCTCCGTGTGACAATCCAGGATTTCACAGCTCTGTGCTACTTTCCTCCCTTCTCTTGTTTTGCTCCAAAACAAGTGTTGTCTTGCTTCCAACTTCTGAGACTCTATAGATGATCTTCAATGATGCGCAGGTCTCTTTGATGAAGATAAAACACTCTGGAATGATTTCTCTTGAATGCTCTGAGTGTTTTCTCTCTTTGAATATATCAAGTAAAGCACTTGATATTTTTGCTCTGCTTTGCTCTGCTTTTTGAACTCTCTGAATATTTTCTTTGAAGCTCTCTGAGTTCTTTTTCTTTTCTCACTTCTCACATGAAGATTTTTGGTATGCTCTGTACCAAATGAGATTTTTGCTCTATGCTCTTTTAAGCTTAATTGCTCTATTCGTTCCCCTTGATGGGTTCGTATTTTCTGCTCTCTTGTTTGTGAGTTTCTCAACTGCTCTATTGCTCTTCAAGTTCTTTATCTTCAAGTCTTCATATCTTCATCATTTTATAGCTGGTAATGAGAATCTGTCCGTTGGAAAGAGACTCTCTCATTTTTGAAATCTTGTATCTTTTTGTCAGAGATCTTATCTTATCTTATGCAAAGATGTCAGAAAGGATAAGCTAGCCGTTTGATGGATCTTCATCTCCATGTAAATGAGCTCCCAAACTTCATCTGATATTCCTCTGGTTTAACGTTGAGTGGGAATATCTGGGTCTCAGTTCTGGTGTAGAATGACTTCTCTGATCAGCTCTGAAGTGGTCCTTGTATCTTTGGGATTTAAAAATGACTTCTCTGATCAGCTCTGAAGTGGTCCTTGTATCTTGTGAGAATATTTTCACTGTAAGTTCATCTTCATCTTCTTCATTCTCACGTCTAGGTATTCTCAGACTTCAAATTGGCTTTGAACTTCCACCCAATTTGAATTTCTCCTTTGCAATTGACACCCAATTTCAATTGGCTTGTAATTGGCACCCAATTTGAATTTCTCCTTTGTAATTGGCTCCCAATTGACTTTGACTTGTAATTGGCTCCCAATCTACTCCTGGTGCTTTTAATTGCTTCCCAATTTGAATTGTTGACTTTGACTTCGAAATTGGCTCCCAGACTTCTCCTGGTATTGAATTTCATCTCAATTCAATTTAATCTCCATGTCTTCTTTGAATCGGTCCCCAACTTGAATTTGCATCCCATACTACAACTTCAATTGGCTCCCAATCGAAATTGGCTCCCAGACTTCTCCTGGTATTGAATTTCATCTCAATTCAATTTGATCTCCATGTCTTCTTTGAATCGGTCCCCAACTTGAATTTGCATCCCAACTACAACTTCAATTGGCTCCCAATTTCAATTCTACATTGGCTCCCATCTTGAATTGATTCCCTTGTGATTTCAATTTCTATGAAAGTAGCTCCCAATTTCAATTCCTATGAAATCTGCTCCCAAGTGCAATTGCTTCTCAATTGCCACCCAAGTGAAATTGCTTCCCAATATCCACTTGTAATTGGCGCCCAACTCCATCAGATTTAATTAGATTTGGCTTCTCTTCTCAATTGCCACCCAAGTGAAATTGTTTCCAAATTTCCACTTGTAATTGGTGCCCAAAGCCAAACTAGCGCCCAACTCCATCAGATTTAATTAGATTTGGCTTCTCAAATTTTATCTTGTAAAATTATTGATGGTAAGTTTCAAACTTGAGCCATTTCACATGGCATATCAAGCATCATCCACTTCCTCCGTACAACTATTAATTAAATCTCCAATCTTCTTTGATGTACTCCTTTCTTTCCATAGATGCTTGATCTCCAAGTCAATTTCATGCGTTCTTCCAATCTTAATTTTCTTTCACGAAAATTCATCTGGGATATTTCTTTGAGTAGCATTGACGTGAATATTGTATCATTCATCTTCTTCTTCAATTTGTCATTTTCTCCAGACAAATTCTTGATTTTAGGCTTTATATCTTCTTCTTCTATTTTCATGCATCTTCCTCTGTTTTTCTCTTTTCCAACTTAAATAATTTCCCGATCATGGTCTAAGACTCTACTAGACCTAAGAAATAAAATTTGGGGGATCTACAAATACATATTTGGCATATCAAAACCATTACACTTTATTCCTAACAATTTCCCACCTTTTGATAATGCCAAAACCTATACTCAGTCATTGGCTTTAAGTCTTTGAAAAAATAAATTTTTTTTTTTGCTCAATTTTATCTGACAAAGCCAAGATGAGTTTAACAATGGTTTTCTAGACACAATCATAAGAAACTTGTGAATTAAATTTTTAGACAAGCTCCTAAACGCATCTTGAATTATTTTTATTTTGATCATTATTAATTTTTAATTTTGTCGTGCGTTTGACATATTTCTTGTCTTTTAATTCACGAAAGTCTAATTACATTAAACAAACAAAATTAAAGACTCAAAATAAACCATGGGAAATTATTATTGATATATTTAGAATTTATAGAGAAAAACGCAACAGAGGTTCGAAAATAGAGAATATCAGCTTAAGAGAATTTTCAGATTACCTTCTGGGTTTCTTCACACCAGAGTCTTTCTTCAAAATTCCCTTGACATGTTCTCTGAGCTTGAAGAAATCATCTTTGAACTTTGCATTCTGAAATTTCTTTGTAAGTTGTCCGGCCAGTAATGTCCAAAAGCTTCTTTGATATTGTTGCCTGGAAGAACTCCGTTTTCCCACCATAAGACACATTCTTCGAAGCTTCTTTCTTCTCCAAGATTCATGCCCATATTTCCAGTGAAATCTCTTAATTCATACCACATCTCGGTTCTTTTCCTTTTGCCTTCTTCTTCTTTATTCTTCTCCGAGATCCATTGGGCTTGATCGGCTGCAGGCCATTTCTTGATCATGCTTGGTAGATTTTCCTTAGTCCATATTGTTGTTTGAGTGGCGGTACCCTTAGAGCATTCAAACCAGCCACGAGTTTCAGCAACCTTCGATGTACTCGTACCAAGACTAGGATTCGCGAACTGAGCAAAACCAATCTGAGATGGTCCTTGTGAGGATTGTCCGCGGCTTCGGCCTCTGCCTTGAGTGGATATTACTGGCTGTTGTTGGCTTCCAAGAATAAATTCTTGTTGTTTCAAAGCCAAGTGACTGAGAATTTCTTCCCCCCTTTTGGCGTTATCAACCAAAAATGCAAGGGTCTTAAAATCTCGGTCTTGGTTTGCCTTCACAGTTTCAACACTATTGTGCGTTTCAATGGAAACGATTTGTACGTTGTCCAGCTTGTTTGTTGTAACTGCAAGTTCAACTTCAAGTTTGTTGATTCGGCTTTCTTGGTCTTGAATTACCTTGACTTGTCGCAAGTGGTGTTCGTTGTTAATCTTTTCAGCTGCTTCTCGTTCTTTCTTCATGAGCTGAATCACTTCAAGTAAGCCTTTTGTCACTTCTCCTTTCAAGACTCTTTCTGCTTTGTCAATCTGGGTCTTCAAAATATTTTGATGCTCCATGAGTTCTTTCAGATTGACTCGTGTATCCGTGTGTTGTTGTTCTAGCTTTTGGTTTTGTTCAACCAATTTTTCTCCAATTGTTTGACAAACAACATCACTGGATTCGGCCACTTTGGCAAATAGAGATGAAAATATGCCATCATTTTGATCATCCATCTGCACAAAGTTTTGAGGGGATCCGAATGGACTTCTATTCGGATCTGTGAGAAAAACTGTATCAATAAGTTGCATCCCTTCTTCTTCAGGTGATTCGGCTTCTTGATTGAGATCACCAATTTGTTCTTCTAGGACTTCTGTTCTTGTGTAGTTATCTGCAAATAAATCTTCATTTTCTAGAACAGGGTCCATGGTAGGCATGGTAAACTCGGTATGGTGTACTGGCAATACACTAGATAAATTCTCTGTGATTTGTTGCCTATTCTCAGTAGCAACTTCTACTGCAACTTCAACTGGTATATCGCTTCTTCTTTCTTCTGACATTTGTTCTCTTACTTCTTCTCGTACTGACACTTCTCCTCTTAATCTTTTCTTCTTTTATCCCTTTTTGTAGCCATAAACAAAATTTTTTTTAATTCCTTTTTATTCTCCTTTTTGTTTTTGTTCGTATTTTTTTTGTGTATCTTTTTGGCTACGAAACATTGTTCTTTTTATAAACCTTAGGGATTTCTCATTTTGTAGGAGAGAGAGAGAGATAGAGAGAACCAGAAGCAAAAACGACCATTTTTCATTATTTATCTCCTTCTTAGGGAGAGAGAGATAACATTTTCAGATCATATCACATATTCAGGCTTCATCGGTAGAGAGACCAGGGCCGTGATTAGTCTCAAGATCAGCATGCGGTGGAGATGGAGAGCTTGACTTCAAGGCATAGACTAATCCGGGTTCCATTGGAGATTGAGCAGATCGCTTAAAGCTGCGGGTTTGAGGTCGAGATGACAGTGGTGATGGCGTTGAGCGTCGTAGCTGCACTGCTGAGACTTTCGGATTTCTTTGAACTTGATCCTTGGTCGGTGGTTATCCTTCCTCTTCTTCAGAGAATAGGATAAGAGGATCACTAGGTGTGTCTCCAACTTCATGTCCTCCATTTGCAGCACGTCGAGCTCTCAACATTGCTTGTCTTGCTTGCTCGGTCACTCTCCTGGAAGATCTTCTCTTCTCTTGATTCTTCGGAGTCATTGAAGCCTGCAAAAAAAATATATACAAACAAAAGAAATCTCCACACAGACTTGTTTGCTTCAGGTCCTAATTTATAGGCCTAGGAAGGTGCTAGAACCGTGTGTCCTAATGATGAAGTGGTTGAAAGGTTTTCTCTGGATATAGCCGACGTTTGGTTTCAAAAGGTGTGATGAATGCTTTCATGACTCTTCATTGGTCGAGAAAGCGGTGGATGTGATGGGTAACGGTTTCTAGGAGATTTAATGAGGGATTAGGGTGACGATTTGAGAGAGAACGAATCGGTTGGGAAGGGTGCTGATATAGGAGAGGATTATGGGGGGAGGTTTAGGTTGGGTGGAGGTTTAGAAAGGGTAGGAGTTTATGGGTGGAGGTTTGATGCCCAATTAAACTCTAATTTTCCTCCTTTGTCTCCTGATTTCCTTCTCAAAATCGTATACCACAGATATAATCATACTCAACATCTCGTTAGTAGCAAAAATTACTCCACAAATAATTAATCACACATACCAATACCAGGACTATGTGGTCCAATGGTACCCGGGTTGGACTTCCATTAGGAAGATTGTGAGTTCAAGCCTTAATGGAGGCGATACTACATTGTAATAGAGCTAGTAGCATTCAAAAAAAAAAAAATACACATACCAATTATATTAAAACATATACACGGTAATTTCCAATCAAAACAAACAAATTTTGGAAACTAACAAAATTAACACATATATTCCAAAATTATAATTAGAAACAACCTTAATTTATATAAATTTTACACAATTCAGATTCCAAAATATTTTAGAAACTAACAAAAATATTAACTTTCAGATTTCTAAAACATTTTATTGCAAATATACACGAAACACATACAATAAACACATTATCCATATATATAATTTAGTAAACACTGTGAATCACATTTTAGAGCAAATTGTTCATGCAAACAAATTAATTAATTTACAAAAACATGAACACATACTCATATACTGATTAACACATTAAAACATGCAATTTTAAACTAATTATCAAATAAAACACGAATTGCATATTTTATCAAATTAATTTGCATGGCATATGATCTCACGTTAAATAACACATGCAAATGCACAAATAACTTCCTAACACATACTGCAATTTTATCACATAAAAATTTCGAATAAAAACATGCATATAAACACATAAAACAATTTATTCATATAAAACAATTTATTTTGAGCACAAGTATCATTTTAAATAGAGAGATTAAGTTCAGTGATACTTAGCTCATTTCGATCATTCCCAACTCGTGCCTTAAGGTAGAAAATCTCGTTTCGCATAAAGGCTTCGTGAGCATATCAGCAACTTGGTTTTCCGTAGGGATATATTCGATCTTCAGATTTTTCTTTTCAACGTGATCCCTTATGAAGTGATGTCGAATGTCAATATGTTTGGTTCTTGAGTGAAGCACCGGATTGTGAGTGATAGCGATTGCACTAGTATTATCACAATAAATACTAACGTCATCACAATTAACTCCGTAATCCTTCAATTGTTGCTTCATCCACAAAATTTGTGCACAACAACTTCCTGCAGCAATATATTCGGCCTCGGCGGTACTAGTTGCGATGGAATTTTGCTTTTTGCTGAACCAAGAAACAAGCCTTCCCCCCAAGAACTGGCATGTCCCGGAAGTGCTTTTTCTGTCTATTTTGCAACCTGCAAAATCCGCATCTGAAAAACCTGTTAGAGTAAAATTTGTACCTTTTGGATACCACAATCCAACATTGATTGTGCCTTTCAGATATTGTATGATCTTCTTTGTTGCGGTGAGGTGGCTTTCTTTTGGATTTGCTTGAAATCTTGCACACACTCCCACAGCATAAGAGATGTCCGGCCTGCTTGCAGTAAGATATAAAAGAGAACCAATCATTCCTCTATATTTTGTTTGATCGGCATCCTTTCCATCTTCATCTTTGTCTAGCCTTATTGATGTGCTCATTGGAATTTTGATCGATGATTTTCCATCAAGGCCAAACTTCTTTATCAAGTCGCGGGTGTACTTTGCTTGATTGATGAATACTCCTTCTTTCAGTTGTTTGACTTGTAAGCCCAAGAAGTAATTCAATTCACCCATCATGCTCATTTCGAATTTATTCTGCATAAGCTTCGAAAATTTCACACACAAAGAATTGTTAGTGCTTCCAAAAATAATATCATCAACATATATTTGCACTAATAAAATATGATCACCATCTTGAATTCTAAATAGAATTTTGTCAACAAGGCCTTTGGTGAATCCACAGTTTATCAAGAACATTGACAAAGTATCATACCAAGCTCGAGGTGCTTGTTTCAACCCATACAATGCCTTTTTAAGTTTGTAGACTTTATCACCTTCGCCTTTTACCTCAAAACCTGGGGGTTGTTCGACATAAACTTCTTCTTCGAGTAGACCATTCAAGAATGCGCTCTTCACGTCCATTTGATAAATGGTGAATTCTTTGTGTGCGGCATAGGCTAGGAAAATTCTGATTGCTTCAAGTCGGGCTACCGGTGCAAAAGTTTCATCAAAATCTATTCCTGCTTCTTGAGAGTATCCTTTTGCAACGAGCCTTGCTTTATTCCTAACAATCACGCCTTCTTCGTTTGCTTTGTTCCGGAAGACCCATTTGGTTCCTACAACATTGTGGTTCGCCGGTCTTGGAACAAGTTCCCAAACATCATTTCTTTTGAATTGATCGAGCTCTTGCATAGCATTTATCCAATCCGGATCATTTAGAGCTTCGTCAACTTCTTTTGGTTCAATTTGAGATAGATAACACGTGAACAATGCTTCCATGGTAGATGATCTCGTTTTCATGCCTTCATGGATATTCCCAATAATTAATTCTGGAGGGTGATTTTTGAGCCATCTTAAATCTGGTTGAAATGGGTGCATGGTACTGGGTGGATCCATTTGTTGTGTACTGGGGGAGTTGGTTCGAATTTCCACATTTAATTCTTCTTGAAATTGATTACCAACTTCACCAGTAACTTGATCACAAACTGGGACCCGTACTGCATCCTCATTCCCACGTGAGGCATCACTCCCAAAATTATTATTAAAAGAATTTCCAACTTCTTCTGGATGAGAGATGGGATTTTCTAGAGAATTAATTTCCAACTCATCCATTCCCTGCAAAACATCATCTTCACACGTATCATTAGTATCACAAAAATCAATATGACACTTGTTACCATTTTGTTCGAATTCTTCGTCCAGAACGCCATTATTGATCTGTGATTTTTCATCAAATACCACGTGTATGGATTCTTCACCCACCATTGATCTTTTATTCAAAACTCTGAACGCCTTGCTAGTAGTCGAATATCCTAGAAAAATTCCTTCATCTGCACGCTCATCAAAAGCTTTTAGATGCAATTTATCATTAATATGAATAAAACATTTGCATCCAAAAATATGAAAATAACCAATATTTGGTTTTCTCCCTTTATAAAGCTCATATGGCGTCTTCTTGTACTGCTTATGGATCATGCTTCGATTTTGCGTGTAGCAAGCAGTGTTGATAGCTTCCGCCCAATAGCGTTTCGGGAGACCGGTAGCACTAATCATCACTCGTGCGGCTTCTTTGAGCGTCCGATTTCTTCTTTCGGCAACACCGTTTTGTTGCGGTGTTCTTGCGGCAGATAATTGATGAGAAATTCCATGTGAATTGCAAAAAGCTTGTATAACTCCATTCACGAACTCGGTTCCGCGATCCGTTCGTATTTTTTATATTTGCAATTCTTTCTCATTTTGTAGTTGCTTCAACAGCTTCGGTAGAACTTGCTCAACTTCATTTTTCTTCTTGAGAAACACGGTCCAAGTGTACCTAGAAAAATCATCAACAACAACGAGAGTATATTTCTTACCACTTACACTTATTGGATCAACCGGTCCAAATAAGTCCATATGTAGTAAGCTTAGCGGTCTTGACGTTGACTCGTGTGTCTTTGATTTGAACGATGATTTGATTTGCTTTCCGCATTGACATGCATCACACACTTGGTCCTTCTTGAAGATAATATCTGGCAAGCCTTCTACTAGATTCTTCTTCGCAAGCTGATTGATAGTCTTGAAGTTTAAGTGGTTGAGCTTTTTGTGCCATTCCCAATTAGCTTCATTCGAATTTCTGGCCATTAAGCACACTGAATCTTTGCTTGTACTCCAATCAACAATATACATATTCTTTCGTCTTTTTCCAGAAAGAACAATCTCATTTGTGAGCTCATTTTTGATTAGGCAATTATCTTTAGAAAATTCTACAAGATAGCCTTTATCACAAAATTGACTAGTGCTCAACAAATTAAATTTTAATCCTTCAACGAAAGAAACATCTTCAATTTTTAATCCATTTTTCTTGATCGTGCCAACTCCTTTTGTGATTCCATAATTTTGATTTCCTCCGAATATAACTTTTGGTCCATCGATTTCTTTGAAATCCACTAGATATGATTTATTTATAGTCATGTGGCGTGAGCAACCACTAACGATGTACCAAACATCCTGCAAAAAAGATTAATTAACTTTAGGTACCCATACTTGCTTGGGTCCTTTACTGTTAGTGATTTTAGGTAACCAAACCCACCTAGATCTTATTGAATTAAGATGAGGCGATTTGTAACCATTTGAGACACGATAATTATAACTCACTTTAGAAAACATTTTTGGCGCCGGGTTTTGAAAAACATTTTTATATTTTGGCACCTGGGAAGAGAATGGTTGCTTTGGTCTATAAAAAGCATTACATCTATTGCACAACCAATCTTTTTGAGTGGGATAAAATCTCCCAACTTTATTTCTAGAAAAGCTTCCCTCTTTTCTATGAAATCTTTTTGCACTTGACTCTTTGGCATATCTTTGCTTGATGAATTTTTGTTGGTTTGCCGTGAAATTGGATTGTTTCGGCCTTTCAACATTCAACTTTGCTTATGTTTGATAGCCAAGTCCTTGTCTCATTGTGCTATTCTGACTTTTAACAAATTTTACCACTTGAACTTTATTATTTAAAGTAGTAGTAGAATTAGTCAGATTTTGAGGGATTTGAGAACATGTGGAGTCATAACCGATTCCGGTTCTATCTCCTGATGGCTTTTGCATGCTCACCATTTTATCTATTATTTTAGACGAATTAGTGAACGTAGCAATAGTAGCTCTAAGATTATGTTCTCTAACCTCTCTTGCTTTACACTCTTCTTGAAGATGAATATTTTCATTCTTCAATTTACTCACTTCAAGTAAAGCATCTTGCAATTTTTTAATTCATTTCTTCTTTTTCAAGAATTAGAATATTATTGCACTCCTTGAGTTGAGGATGAATGAGCATAATCTCTTGACATTCTCGCATTAGATTGTCAATAGATTCACGAGAAAAGAAGAATTAACAGAATTGAAAGAATTAGATGTTACCTCTTCTTCCTCTGCTTCAAGAGCCATAAGACAATCTTCACTTGTACTCAACTCAATTGACTTGGGTATTAGCGCCGTATCATCATCCGAACATGAACTTTCATCGCTTGATGATGAATCCTCCGAATCATCATTTTCGTTTGGTTCGTTGCTAACGAGAGCTTTTCTTTTGTCGCGCTTGAACCTTTTGCTTTCGGATTTGTTCGGCGTAGATTCAACATTTTTGCCTGATACTTGCTAACGATCGGATACGGACAATTTATTTTAAAATGTCCGGGTTTGCGGCAATTGTATCATAAATCCTTGTTTTCTTCGACTTTTTCTTCTTGTGTTATGCGAGAGATGAATTTTCCACGAGCAGAATTTTTGTTGTCTCCTTTTCGCATAAACCTTTTAAATCTTTTCACAAAAAGAGCAAACTGTTCGTCAGTCATAAAATCAACATTATTTTCTACTGACCTGGAGGTTGATGGTTGTTCGGCCATTAGAGCAGAATTTCGAGCTTCATGAACATCATCATCTTTGGCCTTCATTTCGAAGTCATATGTTTTTAGATCACTAAATAATTTGTCTGTTGACAACATTCTTAGATCTCGGTGATCGCGCATAGCCGTAACCTTCATATCCCATGCAGATGGTAAGCCTCGTAGGATTTTGAGATTAATTTCTTTTTGGCTAATATTTTTGCCAAGATCACTAATCTCTCCAAGAACTTTGATCATTCGAGCTTCCATGTCTGCAACACTTTCATTTGAGAGCATTTTGAAATCTTCAAACTTCTTCATGGCGATTGTGAGCTTATTGTCCTTTTCTTGTTCATCTCCTTCACCAATCTTGATGAGAGTTTCCCATATTTCTTTGGCAGTGGCACACTTTCGGATCTTCAGAAATATTATATCATCAACGGCTTTGAATAGAATATCCTTGGCAATATTGTCAAGATTATTCCGCGTTCTATCGTCCGATGTCCATTCCGGTTTTGGCTTTTGTACGTACTGTGGAGCATCTGGGGATATAACAAACGCCGTATTGATTTTTAATATTTCTATAGGGCCAGTGGAAATAACTTCCCACATTTCATCGTGTAAGGCCGATAAGTTTACCTGCATACGAACTTTCCAATCATCAAATTTATCAAGTGAGAATAATAGATTTTGAGCTAAACCTTTCTTCATCATTATCACGAGAGATATGAAAGATTAATCCAATTCACACACTTTGTAGAATGGATCAGCCTAGCAGTCAAAAACAGTTAACCTAGTTGGGTAACGTGCTTAAATACCAAAGGTTGGTACAAACTGACTCAAATAGGCTACAGGCTCTGATACCAATTGTTGGTCCCAAAAGAGGTAAGGTGAAAGTCTAGAGGGGGGGGGGGGGGTGAATAGACTTTCAAACATTTTCGCACAGCACAACAATTGCTAATCCAGAGATAAACCAAAACTCTTAACTAGATTGTTAGAGTATGGTGCACAGCGGAATTAAATAAACATAAAGTGTGTGTGAGATTGTGTGAGCAATATATCTCGTGTAGAGCGAATATGTAAAGAGCAGTAAGTAAAGAAAGCAGTAAAGAACACAAGACAATTATAGTGGTTCGCGAGGTGGTGTAATCCTCCTACTCCACTTGCTCTTATCTCCAAGAGCAATTCACTATATCTTCCACTCCTTGGTTCCAAGATACAATGAATTTCCGTGATCTAGTGCTTTGATCACAAAGCCCGCACTAATCACGCCCAGTGACACCACACTGCTGCTTCGGGTTTCACGTCGCCGCGCTACTATCCCAGGATTTCACGACTCCGTGTTACTTTCCCCCCGTCTTCCACACTCCGGTAGAAACGTATCCCGTGATCTAGTGTTTGATCACAAAGCCCGCACTAATCACGCCCAGTGCCTCCGACACTGCTGCTTCGGATCTCACAGCTCTGTGTGACAATCCAGGATTTCACAGCTCCGTGCTACTTTCCTCCCTTCTCTTGTTTTGCTCCAAAACAAGTGTTGTCTTGCTTCCAACTTCTGAGACTCTGTAG